TCACGAGACACTTGGCGCTCCCCTTGTCTGCCTTGCTGCTGTACCACTCACCCGCCCGCCACAGCTCGCAGCTGAGTGCATTCCGCCGCCACGGGTGACGGCTCGGATTTCCGCCATTATCTCATCTCATCCCTGCCCGCTTGCAGCGCTGCCATCGCTCTGACCGCCAAACCAAACAACCGTTTATCCCTCCGCAGCCTAAACTCACCCGTTTCAAAGCCAAACCACACGCACCTGCCCGCTAACCCCCCCTCCTCCCCTCCCCCATCAATCACCCGCACGCCATAGCTTGCAGCTGAGTGCATTCCGCCACTATGGCCCTGGTCTCCGCCATTATCTCGTCTCTCCCAGCCTGCAGCGCGGCCATCGCTCAGAGCGCCCTATTGATGCCTAGACACCAGTCGCAAGGGCAAAGCATACTCACCCGCCCGCCTCGCCCTGCAGCTGTGTGCATTCGGCCGCCACGGCTCTGACCTCCCCATGATCTCATCCCTGCCCGCCTGCAGCGCTGCCACGGCTCTAACTCACCCGCCCGCCACTCTTCCCCCACCCACCCAATCTCTCAACCCCCAATCCCTCAGCCACTCACCCGCCCGCTTCGCCCTGCAGTTGAGTGCATTCCGCCGCCACGGCTCTGACCTCAGCCATAATCTCATCCCTGCCCGCCTGCAATGCGGCCATGGCTGCCGCTGCTACCTCCTCCTCCAACTGCTCCCACGCCCGCTCCCCCTCCCCCTCCCGCCTCCCCCGCCCCCTCACTCGCCTCCCCCGATGCCTTCCCGCTCGCTTCCCCGCTTCCCTTCCCGCTTTCCCCCGCCCGCTCGCACCCCCCCACCCACTCCGCCACCCTCCCTTTCAGCCTATGCACCGTTCCGAACATATCCAGCAGCGGAAGCGCCAACTCCCCCCGCCAGCCCCCCTCCGCTATCAACTTCCCTCGCTTCTCCCCCGCCCCCGTTCCTTCCCCCTCCCCCGATCCTTCCCCCTCCGCCCGCTCCCCCAAGTTCCCCCGCGCCTGCTCAACCAGACCTTGACCCTCGGATATAAGCGCCTGGAATGCCTTGAGATACCCGTTACTCTGTAGTTCCGCCAAAACTGCTGCTTTGACGACGGCAGGAATCGAACCCTGGCGGTCCGCTTCGCCTCCGCCCTCTTCTGTCACCGCTGCTGCTTTGTCTGTCGCCCCTGCTTCCTCCGTATTCCCAGCTTCGGCACTCCCAGCCTCGGCATTCCCAGCCTCGGCACTCCCAGCCGCAGCGTTCCCAGCCTCGGCATTCCTATGCTGCTGGCAGAGCTCGTCTGTGTACGTGCAGAGCTGGGGGAAGAGGGGGAGAGGGAGGTGGAAGGGGGGGAGGGGAGGAGGAGAAGGATGAGAAGGGAAGGATGAGAAGGGAGGGGAGGGGGGGTTGAGGGGGGAGGAAGGGAGTCTTGCACGGCCGAATGAGGACAGGGATGGGAGAGACTTAAGGGAAGACGAAATGGGAGAGAGGGAGGGAAGGGGGAAGAACAGATTGGATCGGTGGACTTTCAGTGAAAAGCCGATGAGTAGTATTTGGAACAAGTTTTTTTTTTCATCTGCTGTGACGATAATGAATGCCAGTCTCGGAAGAGAATAAACGGATCTTCGAAGCTCAGCTCGACTTTCCGCCCTGTTCTTACCGCGTACGTGATGTCCTGGTGCCACGTCAGGATAGACAGCAGAAGCGGATCCGTGCTGTCATTGCCGTCCCTGGACGACTCCCCACCCCCCCCCTGCTGCTGCGCGCCGAGCTGCTGCGCGCCATCCGCGTCCCCCGCCAACAGCCGCGCGAATCTCTCGCGAGATCTGGGCAGAAGAACAAAAGATAGTGTAAATGATTTGCGGAGAACTTGTTGAATAGAAGGGAGAGATGTCGTCATTTTTTAGTCGACTCAAAATTCTCGTCGAGTTTTTAGTCGGCTCAAGAAGAGAAAGATGTAACGTTTGTGCAACCAGCAGCAGCAAACGAAGAGCGCCGATTGACATGAGACTTTCACTCCCTACAAAATAATTTTTTTTTCGTTTTATTTCGTTTCATTCTTTCTTCACAAACTAACTTGGCATTACTGCATTGCAATGGTAACAATAACATTCGTCGGTGGCTTGCATTAGGCCTTATTGGTGTTCGCTTCAATTTCTGTCTCCAGCACACTTCACGGCACGAAAACAAGCTAAGCGCTCAATAAATACATAAATAGATGTAACTAAATAAAAAAGGCGACAATGCAGCATAGTTCTACTTTTTGTTCATCGCCGTTATTCATTATGAGCACAAGGGGTATCCTAGGAAGATAAATCGTCGCAACAAAGCGCGAGATAAGTTTTTTTTTTTTATCGCGGGTAAGAGTTACATACCTTTGTACGTCCATATGAAACAGCTTGAGCTTAGCAGGCGATTTGATGAGTCATGACCGAACAGAACAGGGAAATGTCTATAAGTTAGGACTGACACAGCGATCACGTCAGGGGAGCAATTTCAAATCGACGCCTGGAAACGTAAATGCCGTCGCACTCGATCAAGAGATAATGTAGTCGATATTTTGGGACGTGGCAAATATTTTAGGAGGTGGCAAGCAGTGATGGGAGGGTGTCCAGTCCAGTCTAGTTGGGTTGGGTTGGGATGGGAGTGGTAGGGACGAGCTGCTTGGACAAAGGGAAATGATCAAACTGGGGCCGAAGAGTGCCAGAGGAATGACCGAAGTAGGGCCAGAAAATCTCGACCGTAGGATTTTCGACCCCGAGCTGCCCAAGAGGCTAGGCGAACAAGCCGAGCCGTGACTTAAAGAGAAATGCTACCAGCACCAAAATTTGTGTCCAACTTATTAAAACAATGGTTACGACCGCCGTCTACTACTACGCGCACATCGCGTTCTTCTGTGTTAATTTGTGAGTCCAAAAACAAATTCATTATGGGTGATAAATATCACTCCCTGATCTGACACGCGCAGAAAAAAAAAATACCCATTTGAAATGGATGCGACTAGGGAGGCATCAACCCTAAACACAACGAAGGTTCCCGTTTTTAGGGTTGATCCATCCCGAAAATGCATACAGGTTCCCCTTGGGGTTTTAGTTTTTTTTTACTGCCCTAAGAGTTTCTGGCTTGCTAAACGACGCTATTGGGTGGAAGGTGATGAATCAGTAAACATTTCCATGAAAAATGACGCGCGAGACAAAATGCAAAATTTTAACGAATATGCGTTCATCAAATGATATCCCTCTGAAAATACCTTGTAGAGCAGTGGTCTGGTTAGTTTCGGGCCTCTCGGCCCTTGTTCGAACACCTCCCTGGCACCGTTCGGCCCCTGTATGATCTTTTCCCTTGGAAAAACACCCAATCAAGACAATTGATGAAAAGGTGGCGAAGGATGATGAATGGTGGGAGGATGACGAGAGAGGAGAGACGATGAGTGACCTTGGGAATTGGGAGGGATGTTCTCGAAGGTCTAGACCGTACGCAGGACTGATTTGTTGTTTTGCGTAAGCTGCACACAGGTTTGATTTGTTGTTTTGCGTTCTGGAAGGAACCCCCAAGAACCGTGATGAGCCATGAAAACCGTGATGAAACGCGAGGAAACTAGCTGAACCGTACATCATGAATGGGTCCGAAGCACAACTTGACGCCACCAGGTGTAGGTGGGCAGTTGCTACTGACCAGCAAAGCAAGGGACGGAATGAAAAGCAGAGTTTCAGCAAATACGCCCTTGCGGTTTCATTGATTCTAGCTTGAGAATTGAGAGCTTGACGAGTTATGCGAATCCAGCGTTACCAATCTGACGAGTGTCGCCTCATGACGCGCTTTGGTTCAAGGTCATTCACGCACGTCGCATCCACCAGAACCGTCCGATCGACCGATCCCAAGCCCCAGGCACAGAGACACGTATCATCAACACCACTCCAAGCTCCTCGGAAATGCAAATATCAAAGGGAAAGGGCCTTTCAAGTTTCTACCCAAATTGATGTGGGCGGAAGGATTTGACGAACCGGTAAATGCTTCTACGAAAAAATGGTAACCCTTGCGAAGGAAATCAACATCGCAAACTGGTGTGTCATTGAAGAATCTTTACCCGACCAATAGAAATAAATGCGCATCTGCACCCTCAAGGTTGTCATGTCAGGAGATCACATTACCACAAGGCCTCCGCGTGCTCGCGGAAGCGAGCTGCCCGCGGGCAAGAAAAATCTAAAGCCCACTCGAAAGGCATGCGGTTCGGGAGGCATCAACCCTAAAATTTTAGGGTTGAGGCTCCCGAACGGCATGCCGGTCGCGATGGGGAATAGTTTTTTTTGCCCCGGGCAGAAAGCTTCCGCCAGCTCGCGCATCCTGGTGGGGAGAGGCACCTGGTGGGTTTGCGCCCACCAGGGCTCGGATGAACCATATTAGTCCACCCCTGCTTCCACTAGCCGTTGTTTGCGGGCCTGCTATATCCCTTGTCAGCCCTCCACTCGCCGCTTGCCTGTGGCTCGCGGCTGCACCTGCCTTGTTTCGCGAGTGTGTATTGCGATCAACTTTAAGCGCTTCAGATACCTTTGGTAGTGTCGTTTCTTCCATCTGCATTAGTGACAGTTTCTTCGAATAGCAATAGTTTTTTTTTTTAGCGAATATTTTTCTTTTGCGGGTCGGTTGTCTAGGGATTCTTCCAGTCCGGCCATGACTTCGTCTGCAGCAGCAGGCGATAGCTCAGTTAGCGACTCGACGGCAACATCAGGCAATAGCAGTCCTGCTTCCTTAAAGCGACGGGCAACTTTTGGCAGTGTTGGGTTCAGAAGTTTTTTTTTTGAACCAGGCTTGCCAGTGCGAAAGTGCTGGCTGGCGAAAACCAGGATTTCGTGCGGACACTTTCCATCCGCAGTAACAGTTCGCCAGGGTTCTGGGTTTTGGGTGGCAAATGTGCACCGTCGCTTTAAAGAATCATGACTCGGGAGTGTCAGGATCCGGAAAAACACGAAGAATCGGCGGGAATTTTCTATGGGGAGCGACGACAGGGCTTATCACAGGCGTTCTTCTGCAGCCGTTCGATGTGATCCGCACGCATCTGCAGGGATCATCGTCACCGTCCGTTGGAAAGATGGCATCATCATCAGTAGCATCCGCAGCGAAAGACGTGGGATCTCGATCGCTAAGATCGGCAGCGGTAGACGCTGTTATAGGGCTCACTGCAAGCGCCGCGACAACCGCAGCTACAGCCGCTGCTACAAACCCCGCCACAACCTCGGCAAGCACCACCGCCGCCACTACAGCCGCCACTGCCGCCACCACCGCCGCGACCGCCGCCACTAGAAAAGCCCTAGCCGCAGCGGCAACCGCGCCGCCGTTACAGCCGAGCATGAGCCACGTGGTTCGGATGATTCTCCAGAAGGAGGGCGTGAGAGGGCTGTGGCGCGGCACGGGACCCACGTGCGTGCGACTCGGGCTGGGCCTCGGGCTTTTCTTTGCCACGTTGGATCCAGCCATGCACGCTCTCGCCGCCCTAGAGAATACCGTGGAGGAAAACCGGAGGCGGAGGCGGCAGAAGGGGAGGGAGGAAGGCGGGGTGGGGGAAGAGGAGGGTGCGGCGCTGGGTGGGGATAGTCGGAAGGGTGGGGTTTCAGGTGCGGGTGCGGGTGCTCCGCAGTTCTCGTCGCGGGTTACGTTCATGGCGGCGGTGGTTTCGCGATCGCTGGCGGCGGCTGCGCTGTGCCCTGTGTCCGTGGTGAAGACACGCATGGAGGTTAGTGGGAGGTGAATGGGGGAACAGCGAATGGGGTAGGTGAGCGCTCTTGTTGCATTCAATCGGTAACACCAACATTCGCGTTATGATGCTCTTGCTTTCGCTGGCGGCTGCTGCGCTGTGCCCCGTTTCCGTGGTGAAGACACGCATGGAGGTTAGTGGGAGGTGGGGGAGGGGGGATGGAAGAGAGGAGCTAGTGCTCTTGTTGGCGAGCACGCTGACGTTGAAACACGCGCTGGCTGCTGCTGCTGCTGCTGCTGCTGCTGCTGCTGCTGTGCGCTGTGCCCTGTGTCCGTGGTGACGACATGCATGGAGGTGAAGGGGGAACGGGGGGGGAAGGGTAAAGGGGGTGGGAAAAGGGGGGAAGTGAGTGAGAGCTCTTGTGTTACATCCTAGTGGTAACACCAACACCTGCAGCATCGTGGTTTCGCGATCGCTGTTGGCTGCTGCGCTGTTCCCCGTATCTGTTTCCACCTGGCTGTTCTGGTTCCCAGTGCAGCAGTGTGTGGGTGATTTCACGTTTTCTTTTCTCACTTTCCTGTTTTCAGCTGTGTCCTGGGCAGCAATACAATCTATCCTATTCTTTTTGCATTACCTTTTTTCACGCAACACTCTTTCTACAGTAGTGAAGTTTTATGCTGCTATTGGAAAGCCTTACAATGGGATACCTGGGGTGATCAATCTTCAGTCTGCTCTTGCTTTGTGTGTGTAATTCTTCTGTCCCCCTTTCTACAGTGCAGTTTTCTGCAGTGAGCGGAGAGTCCTATAGAGGAACGCTTGGAGGATTAATGTCGATTGCCAGGTCAGAAGGAATTGCAGGTAAAGGCAATTTATTGTGCACTTTGTTGCAGTAATAGCTTACCTTTCTGTTTGTACTGTTATGTTTTGTTTTGTTTTGCGGTACAATTCTTGATGGTCACGAAAAGACACCGATTGTGCATCTTCGACATGTATATTGTGTACGCGTGGTCGTTATTGGATGTTTACAGGTTTATATCGAGGATTGGGGAGCACCCTGCTAAGAGATGCACCGTACTCAGGAATCTACCTCGTACTCTATTCCCGCATGCGCTCCCTCATTCATGGTAATTTATGTGCCCTCGGGGAGGGTAATGTATGTATGTGGCGGCCTGCATGCATGGTGATGTAAGTGTGTAAGAGGCCACGTGTATAAAGGGTATTTTTTGAGATGTCTCAAAAGTAGCCTGCATGCATGGTGATGTAAGTATGTGAGAGTTGCACCATACTCCGTATCTATCTTGGGCTCTCTATTCCCGCATGCGCCCCCCTGTTCATGGTAATGTATGTGACTAGGGTAGGGTAATGTATGTATGTGCTCTGGGGTAGGGTGATGTATGGATGTGCTGGTTTTATGTGCCCCCTGGGGTGCATGGTACCTGCCCTTCTCTTTTTAGTCGACTCAAAAGTCAACTCTCTATGTGCCTCCTGGGCCACATGTTACCTGCCCTTCTCTTTTTAGTCGACTCAAAAGTCAACTCTCTATGTGCCTCCTGGGCCACATGGTACCTGCCCTTCTCTTTTTAGTCGACTCAAAAGTCAACTCTCTATGTGCCTCCTGGGCCACATGGTACCTGCCCTTCTCTTTTTAGTCGACTCAAAAGTCAACTCTCTATGTGCCTCCTGGGCCACATGGTACCTGCCCTTCTCTTTTTAGTCGAATCAAAAGTCAACTCTCTATGTGCCTCCTGGGCCACATGGTACCTGCCCTTCTCTTTTTAGTCGACTCAAAAGTCAACTCTCTATGTGCCTCCTGGGCCACATGGTACCTGCCCTTCTCTTTTTAGTCGACTCAAAAGTCAACTCTCTATGTGCCTCCTGGGCCACATGGTACCTGCCCTTCTCTTTTTAGTCGACTCAAAAGTCAACTTTCTATGTGCCTCCTGGGCCACATGGTACCTGTCCTTCTCTGTACGCACATGCGCTCGCTCGCTCCCTCATCCATGATAATGCATGTGCTCGCCTCTATTCTCTCCTCCATCCTCCATCCTCCACCCCCATTTTGCACTGCCCTTCTCCATCGCCCATAATCTTTCCTCCGAGAAACAGATCGCATCTCAACCGATGATGGCCATGCAGCGCGCACAGTGTCCACCATGGCAGCAGGTGTGTGGGGTTGGGTTGGCTGGGGTGGGGTGGGGTGGGGTGGGGTGGGGTGGGGTGGGGTGGGTTGGGGTGGGGTGGGGTCGGATGGGGTGGCATGGGGTGGGTTCTTGCCACCGTGTCTTCTGTCTTGAACAATTGCAGCAAGCATGCTGGCCCCTCCTTCTTGGTCCGTATTTGCATTTGTTGACCAAGACGGACCATGCTGGCCCCTCCTTCTTGGTCCAGACATCTACTTCTTCCACCTATTTCCTATTTCTCCTACAGACCCTATGTTCCACATTCTACCTATTTCTATGCTGGTCTGCCCCCCCCCCTCTTCTTGGTCTGCATGTGCCTGTGTTGACCTTTCGAGACATCTACTTGTTCCACCTATTTCTTCCGCAGACCCTTTATTTCTCTTGCCTGGTTGTCCCATGTGTCAACACAACACCCTGGTGCCACATTCCAAGTACGTTGATTGAACTTTTGAGAATTCTCAAAAGTTCAATCAACGTAGGTAAACTTCTTCCACAGACCCTTTGTTCCTCCTGCCTGGTTGGTTGACTTTTGAGTCGACTCAAAAGTCAACTCTTCCACAGACCCTTTGTTCCTCCTGCCTGGTTGGTTGACTTTGAGTCGACTCAAAAGTCAACTCTTCCACAGACCCTTTGTTCCTCCCTGCCTGGTTGGTTGACTTTTGGTCGACTCAAAAGTCAACTCTTCCACAGACCCTTTGTTCCTCCTGCCTGGTTGGTTGACTTTTGAGTCGACTCAAAAGTCAACTCTTCCACAGACCCTTAGTTCCTCCTGCCTGGTTGTCCCATGTGTCAACACAACACCCTGTTGTCACATTTCAAGCAGGTCTGATCCGAAACCTACCTGCCTCCTTCCCTGCCTCCGTACCCCCTCCCTGCTTTCCCTTGAGCGAATCACAGGAGCAGCAGCGGGGGCTCTTGCAACCATTCTGACCCACCCACCTGATGTGGTGAGCAACAAGCATTGAGCACTGAGGTGTGAGTTTTGAGTTCACTCAAAACGAGGCGCGTTTTGAGCTCACCAAAAAGCCGCTCTCCCAACCATTCTGACCCACCCACCTGATGTGGTCAGCACTGAGCAGTGAGCATCGGGGTGACTTTTGGGTCCACTCAAAAGCTGCTCTTGCAACAATTTTGAACCACCCACCTGTTGTGGTGCGCATTAGTCACTGAGCTTTGCTGATTGAGCAGTTGTGAGTTAGGTATCCCTACATTGACTGCAACCATTCACAGGAGCAGCAGCGGGGATCCTCGCAACCATTCTGACCCACCCGCCTGCGTGGTGAGTGTTGTTCACTGAGCTTTGCACATTGAGCATTTGCGAGTGAAATCTTCACTCACATTTTTCCGAGCATTTTCACGCACTGAGTACAGTTAAGACATGATGAAAGCATGAGCACGTGAGTAGGCATGATGACAACACTGCCTAGCTTGCATGCAATCTCCTCTTCTTGTCAGTGCATCTCTATTTCTTCTGGTTTCGCCAGTGAACGATTCAGTTCATTTGTTTTTTCCAATGAACGGATTCAGTTCATTTGTTTTTTCCAATGAACGGATTCAGTTCATCTGTGCTCATTTGCTCCCCACCTGGTGTTCTCTTCGCGTGTGTGTTTGCATCCCGACTTCAGTTGCGAACCCACCTGCATGAGAGTGACTGTGTTTTGAGAGGTCTCAAACCAGATCTATCTTCATGTCCCCATTCGGTTCATCTAAGCTCATCTGATCCCCACCTGCTCTTGAGTCGACTCAAAAGTCACCTGATCCCCATCTGCTCTTCATGTCAGCCGCATGTGTGCTTTTGTCTTTCCTCTTCAGGTGCGAACCCATCTGCAGCTGGCCTCTCTGCGTGCGACACCTGGCAAGCCGCTGACCATGCTCGGTGCCACGTCAGCCATCTACAAGGTAGATGGTAAAAACAAGGATGGTGAAATTTCTATATGTTTATTTCGGCACCTCAATAGTCGTTTCTTGTTCGCACTTTTGGTCCCATCCATTCGATTCTTCCATTGCCTCTGTTCCATCTGTCCCCCACCCCACTCCCCCCCCTCCCCCCCCCCCTCGCCGTGTCCCCCATCTCCTCTGTTTCCTCCTCCCTCTTCCCCCACCCACCCACAGTCGCAAGGTCTTCCTGGTTTCTTCCGAGGGGTGGTGCCGCGTGTGCTGAAGCGATCAATGCAGCAGGCACTCACTCGCCTTCCCATCCTTCCCCTCTTACTGCCCCTTTTCCCCCTTCCGTTTTCTCCTTCCCTTCCGTCTCCCCCAGTCGCAGGGTCTTCCTGGTTTTCTTCCGAGGGGTGGTGCCGCGTGTGCTGAAGCGATCAATGCAGCAAGCACTCACATGGTGAGTGTACGTGTGGTCACGTGACTTTTGAGATTGTTGACCATCAGATGATCAGGTTGACTTTTGAGTGAACTTAAAAGTGCAGCAAACAGTCACATGGTGAGTACTCGTGTGATCATCGTTGTCTGCCCTCGGCCTTCCCGCTCCGTCGATTTGCTTCTCCTTGCCCCGTGATATCTCCCCTTTCCCTCCCCCTCCTCCTCCCCTCCATTCCCCCCTCGGATATATAAATATCTATCTATATCTATATATATTGCTATTTTTAGATTGTTGTGATGACCATTGTTTCTTTGCCTCCCTTGGGCCTTGGTGTTGCATGCAGGACTCTCTTTGAGCGCCTCTCCTCCGTTCTCTCTGGAAGGACGCTTTGGGACCGGAAAGATGCTGGGCCGGCGAGGAGAACAGGCGTATGAAGTGGCATTTACTGCTCATTGTGCATAATATAACACCATGTGAGAAGCATTTTGTATAATAATATACTGGTTTACCGTATATTCTTTTGTTGTTTAGTAGTTTCTCTTGTGTATCAGAATTAAATCCCCGTGAACACCCAAGCCGGAAGTTTACCCAAAGCAAACCCAAACCAAACCTGTCTAAGCCTATCAAGCGCACACCAAGCCGAACCCGAAGCACAACGGTTTGCAAGATTCCATTGTGCCGTGGCGCGATTCCTTCCCGAAGCGACACCTCACGTCGACCCACACTCGATGCCCTCCCCCCACTCATCACCCCACACTCGACTCCCCTCACCTCATACCCTGCCTGCACTACCTATTTCCACATGCACCTGCCATATTTGCACACCTTACCATTTTCGGGAAAAAGTCTTAGTTTGTTCGCTACGTTCGATAACTTCTTGAAGCGTGACTTTCACTTGGGCGACATGGCGGAAGGCAATTACCCTGAGTTGGGTCCAGGCCTGTCGATTGACGGGCATATGCCCTTAATGCCCTGAACATTCCGGGCTACTTTCGCTCCAGCTCGACTGCATAAAGTGTTAGGATCGCCCTGCACCCGTGCCACTAAGTGCTTCGTTCGACCCTTCCCCGGATGCGTTAAGTGCTCCAACCAGGCCTTCCCCACCCACAAAGTCTTGATTTCCGGTTCTAGGACCCTCCCCCCCCAAGAAATTCTGCCTGACCCCCCCACTCCCCCCCCCTTTCTCCTTAGGTTGCACGAGAGTGTGCCAAGGGGATTTTTCCCTTAGCGTTTTCTAGCCAATCCCGTGTTTGTGATATCTCTAAGTCAGCTTTGGAGCAGCCGAACTTTCCCTTAGCTAAGATAGTGTAAGTGCAAGCCCGGATTTCAAGTTTTCACTTTGGCCTGCGCCCGTGACCGTTAAGGGCGCCAAAACACTCAGCTACGGCCAAAACAGGGTCAGATAGGGAGGAGCTGGGGACTCCAAGTATGGGCCCCAGGAACTTCGACAGGCCTGGTTGGGTCAATGGACCTCTGGCTGGTGCGGCTGTTTCGAAGATATGAATTCATGTAACTTTTCCGTTTTTTCGTGAGGACATGAAGCAGTTTATGTTTTTTTTTCGTCAAAATCAATCTCCTTTTTATTCTTCGCCCTGCGTCCATGTTACAGGCTGTCTCGTCCTTTGGTGTCCCTGTCTAGCCGTTGGCCGAGTCGCTAACTTCGTGGACGCAGGCAAACACGGTAGGCAAACGGCGTTTCAGTCTTCTTTCCTTTATTTCAACCTATTATGCTCTATCGCGGAAAGAAAAGAAAAAAAGACGATGTGAGACGAAAATGAGAAGTAATTATGTGAGACGAAGATGAGAAGTGATTATGTGAGACGAAAAGGCGAAGGGACTATGTGAGACGAAAATGAGAATGGCCTATGTGAGACGAAAATGAAAAGGGCCCATGTGAGACGAAAATGCGCGATACTATTCGTGGTAGCGCCGGTAGCAGTCACTAGAAACGTATCAGAAGGCTCAGAAAATGACGTGGGCCTCGGAGTAACGCATTACAAGTACTCGTTATCATCATTCTCACTGACCTGCCACGGGTATGATGCAGATGCAGGGTTTTTCGAGATTTAGGAAGAAAAAAATCCTGAAGGATTCAAAAGTTTGCTGTGTGGATCGTACGGTGAATCCTTAGCTGTATACTCGTTATAATCCGTGTCTTTGACCTGGCACAAGTGACTCGTGATACAATGCTTCGTGTTCTGTGAATCTCAGACCCCTCTGTAAAAGAAGTTAACTTCTGAGACGTCTCAAAAATGAAGCCTTAGCTGTATATATACTCGTTATCATCCTTTGACCCGGCACGAGTGACTCATGATACGCTTGCTTCGTGTTCTGTGAATCTCAGACCCCCTCTGTGCCCTGCGAATCTCAGACCCCCTCTGTGCCCTGCGAATCTCAGACCCCCTCTGTGCCCTGCGAATCTCAGACCCCCCTCTGTGCCCTGTGAATCTCAGACCCCTCTGTGACGAGACGTCTCAGAAGTAAAAGAAGTTAACTTCTGAGACGTCTCAAAGTGAAGCCTTAGCTGTATATATACTCGTTATCATCCTTTGACCCGGTTCGAGTGACTCATGATACTCACGAGTGACTCATGATACGCTTGCTTCATGTTCTGTGAATCTCAGACCCCCTCTGTGCCCTGTGAATCTCAGACCCCCTCTGTGCCCTGTGAATTGCAGACGCAAGTGACATCTGCGCCTTCTGGTGCATCGCTGAGTGCCTCTGCTGCAACGGCTTCATCGTTTCCACAGGTGCCCCCTCTCTCCCACTCTCTCTCCCACTCTCTCTCCCACTCTCTCTCCCACTCTCTCTCCCACTCTCTCTCCCACTCTCTCTCCCACTCTCTCTCCCACTCTCTCTCCCACTCTCTCTCCGACTATCTCTCCCACTCTCTCTCCCTCTCTCTCTGTTTTTTCTTTTTGAGGTGACTTGAGGTTTACTAGGGCCTTTGTAGTCAACTTTAAAACCTTCTGGTGCATCATCGAGTGCCTCTGCTGCAACGGCTGTATCGTTTCCACAGGTGCTTTCTCTCCCACTCTCTCTTTCCTTTTGAGGTTACTCTTGAGGCGACTAAGTGGCGTTTGACTCAATTTAAAAGGCTAGAACGTTTAAGAACTCTCGAAAGTTATTCCAATGAAGCTAGAGTGGTTGCTGCGGTACATAAAAATCCAGAACTTGCATCCCGCGCTCCCTCCCAACCTCCCTCCGTTCCCCCCACCCTCCCTCCATACTCAGAGTACCGAGAAACTCTAAGGGCCAGATACGACCTTCCAGAAAAGCCCTGCGGAGACTTCTGGATGCACTGGTGCTGTCCGCTTTGTGCCATCTCCCAGGAATACCGAGAACTCACCAGGCGAGGCTGGGACCTATCTATTGGTGAGTGGTCAGTGAGGCTGATACACGCACATTCTTGGTAACCCGATTCCTCTACGCTGCTGCACTGGTGCTGTGCTGTCTCCCAGGAATACCGAGAGCTCACCAGACGAGGCTGGGACCTCTCTACTGGTGAGTGTCCTGTGAGTGTTGGTGATGCAAACGCACACCGCGTGGTGACCCTGATGTTATAGCCTGCACTGGTGTGGTGATTTCTGCCTGCACTGGTGCTGTCCGTTCTGTGCCATCTCCCATGAGTACCGAGAGCGGCTGGCACTTATCCAATGGTGAGTGTCCTGTGAGGCCGAAACAGCATCTGAGCCGCCTCAAATACCTAGAGAGCCTGAGGGATAAAAAAAACTTCAGAAAAGTCATGGGGGGACCTATGGGTGCACTGGTGCTGTGCGCTCTGCGCCATCTCCCAGGAGTACCGAGAGCTCACCAGGCGAGGCTGGGACCTATCTATTGGTGAGTGGTCAGTGAGGCTGATACACGCACATTCTTGGTAACCCGATTCCTCTACGCTGCTGCACTGGTGCTGTGCCGTCTCCCAGGAATACCGAGAGCTCACCAGACGAGGCTGGGACCTCTCTACTGGTGAGTGTCCTGTGAGTGTTGGTGATGCAAACGCACACGCGTGGTGACCCTGATGTTATAGCCTGCACTGGTGTGGTGATTTCTGCCTGCACTGGTGCTGTCCGTTCTGTGCCATCTCCCATGAGTACCGAGAGCGGCTGGCACTTATCCAATGGTGAGTGTCCTGTGAGGCCGAAACAGCATCTGAGCCGCCTCAAATACCTAGAGAGCCTGAGGGATAAAAAAAAACTTCAGAAAAGTCATGGGGGGACCTATGGGTGCACTGGTGCTGTGCGCTCTGCGCCATCTCCCAGGAGTACCGAGAGCTCAGCAAGCGCGGCTGGGACCTGTCCGTTGGTGAGTGTCCTGCGAGCTAATACTAATGCTGGCACTGGCACATGCTTGATGACCCTCACCTGATAATCCTAGCCTGCACTGCTGCTGTGCGCTCTGCGCCATCGCCCAGGAGTACCGAGAGCTTACCAGGCGTGGCTGGGACCTGTCAATCGGTGAGTGCTGTGTATGAGGTTTGCAGGGAGTTTTTGAGAATTCTCAAAAACACCCGCATGCCTGGGGACCTGATGCTGCTTCTTGCCTGCACTGCTGCTGTGCGCTCTGTGCCATACTCCCAGGAGTACCGAGAGCTTAAGAACAGTGGCTGGGACCTGTCGCTTGGTGATTCCCCTCTGAGGCTGATACAGCCGCATGCCTCGTAACCCAATTCGTCTAGCCTGCACTGGTGCTGTGCATTTGTGCGATCTCCCAGGGAGTACCGAGAGCTTAAGAGTCGTGGCTGGGTCCTGTCTATCGGTGAGTGTCCTGCGTCTTGTGGGGTACATGCTGGTGAGTGCCCTGTGATTCCTCTAGCCTGATTCCGGTGCGGTTCGCTCTCCGCCATCTCCCAGGAAGTGCCGGCTCAACAGCCCTGGCTGAGGCCCTCTCCATTGGACGAGCGTGTTTTGATTGCATTACATGTTGGGGGTATTCTCAACCTACATGACTTATGTCTTGTGTGTGCGTATGCTTGCGGTGTGCAGATTTCAGAGAAAACCAGAACAGGACGCCTCCTCCTCAACAATTTATGGAGAAATCCCAACCTATTGCTTCCCATGCCAGTGCTGAAGTGGTTACTACAGGTGATACATGAAAGTGTATGATGTTTCATAATGATATTAGGAAGTAAGGATCTGAAGGGTACTTTCTTGCCACGCATCACAAGGGGAGATTTAAAATCGAATACGCGAAACGAGCAATGGAGCTGTGTTTCAGTCAACTGACCAAAATAGAAGTTGGGGAAAATATAGCAAAGCCCATAACTAGGGCGGGGAGTCCCTGCTGGGACCTTGGAATTCTGAGGTTGGGTTTGGAGTTTGGGTGGTGGAATGGAATGTGTCCAATGGTGATGCATGCAGAGTGGTCTTTGGTCGAGGATATCAGGCAGAGCCTACACTTTCTGAGAGTGGGGGTTGTACTATGTGATGCTGTA